GCTATTAAGACCCCAGATGCTACTCACCTCACTAGGATGAAGAACATGAACTTTGTGGTGCCAATTGACTGAGTTGTCCCATGAGACTAAGGTCCTAGGCTTTCAAACCCGGAAAACCATTTTTGCAAGGTATCTTAAGCTGGGTTCTCTAGAGAAGCAAAATGAGTTAAGTGTATAAATATATATATAGAGAGATTTATATAAGGACATGGCTCACACGGTTGTGGAGGATGGAACGTCCCAAGTCCATGCATCAGGATAGAGGCTTCTCCTGATCCACATAGCCACAGGGGCTGGTGAACCCAAGATCAGCAGGTCACAGAGGAGGGCTCTTGCTCACAGGCTTTGAAGATCGAAGAACCCTAAGATCGGCAGACAAGACTGCAGATAAGCTGCTAGCTGAAGTCAGATGAACAGGAGCCAGCTGCAGGATTCCCAGTGAGCAAAAGCCCGACAGCCTTGCCAGAAAGTCCACTTATATTCGATGCAGGCCACACGCCCAAGGAAACATCCTTTCAACTGATTGGCTACTCACAGTTGATCCCATCATAAAGGTGATCACATTATTTTAAATCTTATTATGGAAGCGACCACAACATCATATGATTGCCAAACTACGTCATAACTGCGAAACCAATGAGAATCATGGCCCAGCCAAGTTGACACACAACATTAACCTTCACAGTCCACCCTTTGTCAGCTTGGCACCTGTACACATCTCCTTAAACTATACATAATCTCTGCATAAAGACAACTGTAAAGTCATACTTGTGCCTAACATGATACAACGAACACACATACAACTGAAAATGCACTAGCCCTGTTTATAGCTTATATTTTATAAGTAAAGAAAAAAATATTTCATGCCCACATACAAAGCAGAAATACTCATAACAATTACATTCCTCATTTCTGCAACCAGTCACATGGTCGTAAATGGTATTTAGAACTATCTTCTTCCACCACCCATTCCGTATTGCCTTTGCCCTCAGCAAGCACCTCAGCTGGTCATGGTTCATTGCCTAGTGGGGTGACCCAAACCTTCATTCCTGAAGGGTCTGGGCCGTTGGTAGTCATACTGGAATTCAGTTGCTGTAGTTTTCCATTGACTTTAACCACAGGGCATGGTAGTACTAAGAGATGCCTTAAGGGATCTCCTGCATTGCAGGCATACTCTTCTTTACCTCCATTATGTAATATCAACCCGATTTCCTCTCGGTAACCAGAATCAGTCACACCAGCCAGTATGGTAACTCCCTTCTTTGCCTGTTGATCCAGAGGCATAAGGAGCCCAAAGTGGCCAGGTGGCATTTTTAGCTTCCAGTTCAATGGAATCAGTGATGTGTCTCCAGGTGGGAGCATTCCTTCCTTTGTAACTAAGACCTCTAGACCCGCAGGGCATAAGGTCGTGGGGACAGGAAGCAAAAATTTTGTGAGTGGGTCACTAGGGGTAACAGTGAGTGGTGCCAATCCCATTTCTACCCCTTGATTCCTGGACCCAAGAATCCTGGCTATGGGAGAAACAGCACCATATATTTGTTACTGGTTTAGAGCATATACAGTCTCCGAGACTAGACTGTTGGTGGAATTACGGATGTCAAAGACAATTCTGGTGAGGACTCAGAAAGAAGTGAGGAAAGCTGTTACACTGGAGATGGCGCAGATGGCAAGAAACAGCAGCAGCAGAGAAACAGCAGCAGCGGAACCAGGAGATCGTCACAAGACAGCACTGGAGCCAACCCACGGAGCAAGAGAGCTGAGTGCCTTTTCACAGGAGGCTTCCTGGCAGAGTGAGGAGACTCCAGGCACTTATCAGTGGAGCTAGACTTGCCAACTCACAGAGCAAGAGAGCTGAGTGCCTTCCGGCTGAAGTTTACTGGCGGAGTAGGGTGCCTCCAGGCACTTATTGGTGGAACTAAAGGGTTTTGGAACACTGGCCCCAGCAGGACAGATGCAGGCAGTGAGGCCCAAGGGGCCAAGAAACCAAGCAACCAGGAAGCAGAAGCTGAAGAGACAAGGAGCACAGGAAGCAGAGCCGCCTCAGTCTCAAAGAGTAGGGCCACAACCTATGGGGTCTCAAAGGATGGAGTCACCACTCAGATGGGCTAGGAGAATGGGGCCGCCCAAATGCAAGGGAGCAGTGTTGCCATTCCAGTGGGCCTGGAAGGTGGAACTGAAGCCCAGGAATGAGGGGCGTCCACTCAGAATCCCGAAAAGTGTGGCCAATACCTAGAGTCTGGAGGGCAGGGCCATTGTGTAAATGGTCTCAGAGAACAAAGGATTATTTTCAAGCCTTGAGGGCTAATGTAATGTTTTCTGCTGACTTGCTTGGTGCCTATTATTCCTTCTTCCCCTCCAATTTCTCCCATTTGTAATGGAAATGTCTAGCTTGTGCCTGTTGCACCGTTGTGCTTTGGAAGCAGAAAACTTGTATTTCACAGATGAAGAGGAATTTTTGGATTTTTGATGTGGAGTTGATTTAAGACTTTTGCTATGATATAATGGGGTGATGCGTTTTACATGTGGCAAGGACATGCATTTTGGGGCACCAAAGGATGTCATGAATTGAATTGTGTCCCCAAAAAATATACGTCAACTTGGCTCGTCTATAATTCCCAGTATTGTGTGATTGTCCACCATTTTGTCATCTGATGTGATTTTCCTATGTGTTGTAAATCATACCTCCATGATGTTAATGAGATGGGATTAGGGGCAGTTATGTTAATGAGGCAGGACTCAAGCTACAAGATTAGGTTGTGCCTTTAGTCAATCTCTTTTGAGCTATATAAGAGAGAAGTGAGCAGAGAGACATGGGGACCTCATACCACCAAGAAAGCAGCATCAGGAGCACAGCACATTCTTTGGACCCGGGGTTCCTGCACTGAGAAGCTCCTAGACTAAGGGAAGATTAATGACAAAGACCTTCTCCCAGAGCCAACGAAAGAGAGAGTAAGCCTTCCCCTGGAGCTGACACCCTGAATTCAGATTTCTAGCCTCCTAGACTGTGAGAAAATAAACTTATCTTTGTTAAAGCCGTCCACTGTGGTAAATGTTATAGCAGCACTAGTTGACTGAGACACAAGGTGTTTGATTATGTCTGAGAAGTATCTGTAGCTGTGTCCTCTATGTATATGTGTGCACCCACATATCACTACCCACACATACATATAAACTAAACCAAATCCAAACTCATTGCTGTTGAGTCAATTCTGACTCATAGCTATCCTATAGGACAGAGAAGAACTGCTCTATAGGGTTTCCAAGGCTGTAAATCTTTACAGAAGTAGACTACCACATCTTCCCTCCACAGAGCAGCCAGTGGGTTCGAACAACTGACCTTTCAGTAAGCAGCCAAGCACTTAACCCACTGCACCACTAGGGCTCTACTTCTATCTGTGCATACATATGTACTCACCTGTACCAATCCATATACATATATGCTTATAAACCTACATATGTGACCATACACTCATTTTTTGTACTTAAGTTTTTAAGTCTATATCCTCCAAATGGACTAAGTGTGCCTGGGAAGTGTTCCTCTGGCTAGAGGAAAACGCTAGAAAGGTAGGCTCCATCCTTCCAACTCCCTACTTTGCCTTCTCTGAGAGTACAGAATCTGGGGGGGGGGGTGGCGCTTATTCATTTTCATAGCTCCAAAGACAAGTACAGTGCCTGAAACACAATAAACTTGTTGATGTTGAGTCGATTCCGACTCATAGAGACCCTATAGGACAGAGTAGAACTTCCCCGTAGGGTTTCCAAGGGGTGGCTGGTAGATTCGACTGCTGACCTTTTGGTTAGCAGCTGAGTTCTTTAACCACTGCATCACCACAGACACCCAATATGTTTGTTGAGCAAAGGCATGAATGAATGAATAACTTTTAAAAAAAAAAACACCTTGATACTGAAGTTTCTTTAAACCTAGTTTAGTAGCTGTCTTAGTTATCTAGTGCTACTAGAACAGAAATACCACAAGAGGGTGGGTTTAACAAATAGAAACTGATTTTCTCATAGTTTAGGAGGCTAGAAGTCTGAATTCAGGGCACTGGCTTTAGAAGAAGGCTCTCTCTGTGTCGCTCTGGGGAAGAGTTCTTGTCTCTTTTCAGCTTCTGTTCCTCTCTTCATGGGATGTGGCATCTATCTTCCCCCATCTCTGCTCGCTTGCTTAATCTACTCATTTATATCTCAAAAGAGATTGATGTAAGACACACCCTACACAAGTATTGCCTCATTAACATAACAAAGAAAACCCATTCCCAAATGGGATTATAACCACAGGTATAGGGGTTAGGATTTACAACAGGTATTTTTTAGGGACACAATTCAACCCCTAACAGTGGCTAACGGCCATATTCTGAGTGTGTGGTTGTGTAAGAGAGAACGTCTATATAAATGCATAAGTGTGTGCCTAGGTTATAGGTGTGTATGGACAAGTGTATGCAGGAATGTGAGTGTCTGTATTCAGATGACTAAATGAACTTGAGGTGGGGCAGCAGTGAGATGGGGCTACAGGAGACACCCCCAAGATTTCCTCCCAGTATCTTAGTTTCCTAGTACAGCTGTAACCCAAGTACTACAAGTGGGTGGCTTTAAAGAACAGAGATTTATTTTCTCACAGTTCTGGAGGCTAAGGGCCCAATCAGGGTCTCTGCATTTTCGATTCTTTTCTGGTTGGTAGCCGAGTGTATCTTCATTCCTCGTTTGCAAATGACCCTCACGTGGTATCTGTCTTCCCCATTGTGCACACATGTCTCTGTCTATGCTGCTCTTTGTATAACGCAGAAGCGATAAGTTAGGATCCACCCTACACTGGTATGATCTCACCTGATTGGTTACCTTACACTGCATTGCATTATAGGAGGTGATTTCATTATGTTAGATTGGATTATATTCACAGGTTTTGGGGTTAGTATTCCAATACACATTTTGGGGTGACGCAATCCCGTCCATAACACCCAGCCTACAGAGAGCTTGCACATGTAGTGAAGGCACTGTGCGTAATGGCGTAAGAGTCTGCAAGTGTGGGGTGGGAAGTGGGGGTCGCCTCAGAAAGCTTCCTTTCACCCTGCCCACTCTCCCTGACTGGGCACTGAAGCAATTCTGCCCCATTCTCCTCCCCACTCTCACCCCCCAGGACCCCATGAGGCTCCTGGTCTACCTTAGTCTTCTTCTCTCCCAGAGAGAGAGGAAGAGGAGAAAGACCAGCCCTAAGGAGAAGGCAATTTTTATGCAGGTCTGCATCTGGGGAACTATGTCCTAAGGTGAGGTCATTGACCAGAGCACCTATTAGAAGCTCACAGACTAAGGGCCCAACTCCCTGTAAGAAACTGGGAGTGAGAGGCCTGGTCCCTCTCCCACCTGCCCCGTAACACAAGTGCCTCAGGCCTCCATTTTGTTCTCTATGAAGTGGAAATTCTTGTCCCTCTCTAGAACTTGTCACTTAGATGATACTAAGAAAGAGGGCAACAAACCTTCCACTTCTTTGTCCACTTGTACCAAACTTGGTGGGACCCCCTTAGAAGTCGCACATCTCTCCCTGTCTTCAAGTAGAACCATAAATCATGTCAGCAATGTCAAGAGTCAGCAATGTCCTCATAGTCTTCCTAGATAAAGAAAGGCCCACAACCCCTGCTTCTGTTCTTAGACTTTCTTCTAGTCTGAAGTTTTCTCAGCACTTCCTGCCCTTTACAAGGGCTGACCTTGGGCAGCATGGGGTTCAAACCCTGAAGCTCCACTCATTTGCTGTGTGACCTTGGTCAGTGGGGAGCAAGGGAAAGAGTTTCAGCCTGGAAAATATGGAGACCTGGGTTTGAGTTCTGCCTTGGCTACCAGTTGGCTCCAGGATCCTAGTCTCTCCCTTTACTGGGCTTCAGTTTCTCATTCACATAACGAAGATGTTGGATCAGATGCTCTCTAAGTACCCCCCTGCCACATACACGACCTGCTCACTCTTTCTGACATCCTTCCCTTCTTCTTCAGGGTGATTCTTTCAGTACCAGTTGCTATCAAGTCACTTCCAACTGATGGTGACTCCATGTGTGTCAGAGTAGAAATGTACTCCGTAGGGTTTTCAATAACTGATTTTCTGGAAGTAGATCACTAGGCCTTTCTCCTGAGGTATCTCTGGGTGGACTCAAACCTCCAACATTTCCGTTAGCAGCCAAGTATGTTAACCACTTGTACCACCCAAGGACTCCCAAGGTGAGTCTTCACAAGTTTGAAATAGGTCATTGAGATTCCCAAAGTCCAAAGCTAAGTCCCTCTCAGGCAAGAGTTGGCCTATTGAGTTCTATGTGCTATGTCTCCAGGTTAAAGGGACCAGCCTAGTTCCTCTAATTAGGATCAGCCCCACCCAGAGCACTACGGCTCCAAGGACACCATCTTCAAACCCCATAATGACCAGGCCTACTGTGCTGGGCCTGCTGGGTTCTCTGACCAGCCACAGTAAGTTCACAGTCACAGGGTCCTAATATCCTGAGGACATAGGTTCAGCAGCCATGACCCAGCACTAGGGGCACTAGAGTGGAGTGTGGTCAGGGCTGGTGGAGGAGAGGGTCAGGGCTATCTCTTACCACCAGGGAGAAGAGGAGAAACAGCCATGGGACAGAAAGGAAAAAAAACAAAAAAAATCAAAGGGAGAAGTTGGCTGTCTTTACTACTTTTGCCTGAATGCACAAATTGGATAGAAAGCAAAGAAATGCGAGAACTCTACTACTCCCTAGCAAAGCCACCTTACCTTAATTAACAGCCTCACTGGGGGAGCAAGTTGAGTGGTAATTAGATTAGAGACAATTAAAAGCCTGTTGAGGAGAATAAAGAACTTTGTGACTGTCACTTGGCATGGGAGAGATGAAGCAGTCACATAGCTTTTCAGCTTTTAAGTTCCCCCCTTAGCAGATCCCCTGCCCTCTCTGGTGCCCACCTGGAGGCTGGGTGTTGGCAGAAGTGGCAGTAAAGGGTTGGCACTCTGCTGAGGAGTAGAAACTGGGGCAGAGGAGGAATGAGGTTGATCTGGACTTGCTTGCCCTCAGCTTCATTGTTCCCTCAGAAGGTTGGCCTTGGGTGGATCTGGGGTACTGAGGCATCATCAGAGAAAGCACTTCAGTCACAAATCTGTGACCTCTCCAAGCTACAGAATCTTGGACTTGGAGGAGCATTAAAGGGCCTCAGCTGGACCTGCCATTCAAGACCTGGGAATAAGAAGGACGCTGGGGCCCTGCTCTTTCCACCTACCTCGTCTGTTCACTGCTGGCAAAGAAGAGCTGTCTCTTAATCTTGGGGCTGTCTCACTGTTTGGGCTAATACCGGGTCCCAGTAATCTCTGTCCCTTGTGATAGCAAGGAGTCCCTGGGTGGTGCAAAGTTTAACACACTTGGCTGCTAACCAAAAAGTTAGTGGTTTGAGTTAACCCAGAGGTGCCTTGGAAGAAAAGCCTGGTGATCTACTTCCCAAAAATCAGTCATTGAAAACCCTATGGAGCACAGTTCTACTCTGACACACACGGGGTCTCCATGGGTCGGCATCAAGCTGACAGCAACTGTTGTGAGTGTGTGTGTGTGATAGCAAGTGACAGAAACCACTATTCACTTGTATGAGCCAATATTCTTCACCTTTTTAAAGCCAATCTGAGTCGAATGGCCTGGCCTGGGTCTCCTGACTCTTGACCCAGAGATGGCATCATGGACTGAGAACCACATGGACGGAGAAGAGGGGAGGGCTGTTTCCCAATGGAAAATTGGGATGCTGCTACCGTAAAAAATGGAAACAGATGCCGGGCAGGCAATGTCCACACCGCCTTGGTTCTATTATGTTCTTGGAGCCACAGAGAACAAGAACAAGCCAGTTGGCAGAGCCAGCAACCACAGTAATGCCACTTAATTTTGGTTTTATTTCCATTTAATTCTGGTTTCATTTGATCTTCACTGTACCTTCTAGGGCCAGAGAGGAGCCCTATGGAAAAGAGACTAATGGGTGTCCTAGAAATACCCACGTAGGATCAGGAAAACCTACCCAGAGCCAGGATCTGATGAAAAGCACTGATGGGCATGGACTGGGTGAACCTGCTTCTCTTAGGTCAAGGGCTGAGGGACAAGCTGGGAGCAGCCAACAGCACTGTCTAGGGGCATTGTGAGAGTTGGTTCTGAGCAGCAACCCATAGGCTATCAAGAGGACATAGGTGGCCATGGCTCAGACACTCCACGGTGGTCTCTGAGGCTGTAGGGAGTCTGACAAAGGGTCTCCTTTTGTTCCGTCTTCCACCTGGGCCAGGCCTGCCCACCTGCCTGGTCTGCATGTGCCTTGGTTCTTCTGTGTACTTCGACAGTGCCAACCTAGAGTACATCCCTCCTCTTCCCCAAACACCTACCTCTGTGCCCACTTCAACCACATCAGCCATCTCAGGGCTGGAGACTTCAGAGAGCTGAGTATGTAATGCTCTGGGGAAAGAGAAGAGCAGCTGGCAGAGGGGACCACCATGTGAACAGTCACCAGACACAGTGCCCACCTTGCCCTCAGTTAGGTTTCAGTCTCTCCAGCTGTCAAAGGGAAACCACCCCGGGTCTTTCTAATCCCTTTCCTCGAAGATTTTAGACGGCAGATGTAACCTATTGTCATCTGTTCTCTCAAAAGATCTGGGAAGCTGGGAGGGGGGAGGTCTGATCAAGCCTACATTTTCAGGATCTTGCAGCAGCTCTGTGCCCTTCTGCTGATGACAAGACCATGCTAAATCTACTCCCTATGGCATTGATGCTGTGTATGTATTTGTTTTTTGCTTCTTTATGCTTTATGCCCTGCCTGAGACCAGGGCTCTGGTTCATATTCTACCACTAATTATGGCTTTCTGGGCCTCAGTATCCTTTTGAGTAAACTAATGAATGGAGAAGGAACCTGGGTGGCACAAGTGGTTTGCAATTGGCTGCTAACCTAATGGTTGGCAGTTCGAACCCACTCCAAGGCTCTGCAGAGGAAAAGGCCTGGAGAACTTCTTCCACAAAGATTACAGCCAAGAAAACCCTATGGAGCACTTCTACTTTGTAACACATGGGGTCACTATGAGTCAGGGGCCAACAACACCAACGGGTAGAGGTAGCGGGTGGATGGATACAGGGATTCCTGGGCCTATTGGTTCTAGCCCTCGAAAGGCTTCTTCCAAACCAATCCAAGATGGGAGGCCACAACCCAAGGCAGACCTCCAGGGAAAGGTATTTCAGAATCCAAGAGCTTTTCCAAGGAGTCCTCCTGGTTTACAATGTTATTTCTTCTGGTTTGGACCTGGTGCAGGTGGAGAATTGGTTGGCATTCCTCACCTTGAAAGGTATGGAGCAGGGTATGGAGGTAGATCCAGCAAGGAGGCTAGAAAAGATGGTTTGTTGCCATGTCTCTCTTTGTTCTCCCCGTCGCCCACCCCCCATGCCCCTCAGCAAAACTGAAGAGGATTGACCTCTCTAGCAACTTCATCTTCTCCATCAATGATGATGTCCTCCACTTGTGTTTGCCCTACAGGACCTGATCCTCCTTGAGAACCAGCTGGTGGCTCTGCCCACACTGCCCAGTGGCACTGAGTTCCTGGATACCCACCTGAATCAGTTCTGGAGCTCAGGGATACAGACTGAAGCCTTCTGGGAGTCAGGGCCTCCAGCCCACCATCTGCCACCCCCACTCCACCACCCCTGTCACTGCACACACATTTTGGTCATCATGGGATATCCCTGCTCCAAGCTTGCTCTGGAGTATAAAAACCAGGCCCCATTTTCCATCCTTTCCTATTTGTTTTATTAAAGGTTCTTTTGGTTGCAAGAAACTGATTCTGACTCAAGAAAAGGGTGGTTTAGAACATGTCATCTGGAGAACCTCCATGAACAGGAAACATAGTCCTAGAGGCATCATGGGCCTATGACTGGGAGTGGGAGAAACCAGGGTTAACCTCTCACTTTCTCTTTGGGGCACATGGTCTCTTAGCTTCTCTCTGTGAGTCTGCTCCACCCACCTCTCTGCAGACCAACATCCTCTGCACACTCACAGGTCTGTTCCCCTAAAACTTGGGCTTACACCTAACTCTGACTTGCAATAGTGCTGGCTCCAGCCCTAACTCTACATATCCTTTTATTTCTATGGCCACCACCAAGCGACTAATCATTGTCTTTCTGTGAACACATTCTCAAGAAAGAGAATCTGATTCGCCACCGGCCAGCCAGTGACCAAATTTTGAATGGGAGGGCTAGGTCATATGGCACAAATATGACACCATAGGGCTGCCCATTCAACAGTGCTAGGAGGAGGTCCAGTTAAGAGGGGTGTGGACAAGACTGACATCCCCCAAACATGTTGACTGAATTACTAAGAATGGCCTTCAAAGACCAATTACTCATTCTTCCAGCCTCATCTTCTTCCTTTGGACTCATTTTTAAGCTCTCTTTCTCAAGTAGAAGAATCTTTTTTGCAAACTAAATCATACTTAGAAGCATCAAATACACCAAATTAAATCAGAGCTGCCATTTTGAAGCAGGCTTGCAGGAACAGAGGCATGGCTGCCTGCTCTCTTGCACCATCCTACTCTCCTCCTCTCTGTGGTGGTCCGTGAGGGGGTTTTACAGAACACAGTGTTGATCCTACTGGTCTGGTAGAAGGAAGCATTGCAGGGCAGAGGGAGGTGTGAGACTCAGGCAGAGAGAGCATCCCCTTTACCGGACATGGATCCCTAGGTCTTGTTTAGACTGCTTTCCATGGCCCCACTTTGCTTTTCTCCCTTTCCTTCCCTTTAAAACAAGTCCTCTCTTTCCACATCTTTATCCCACCTCACCTGGCTGCTTGTCTCTTCTCTCCTTTTTCCTAACTTGTGTCTCTCTCCTTCCTTTCTTTTCAATCCCTCCCTCCTCCCTCCTTCTCTTTCCTCTCTCTGTCTTAATCTCGCCCCCGCCTCTCTCCATCCATCCTCCATGGCTCTTCTCCTCTCACCCTTTGCTGTGTGGCCTTAGGCTCTATGTGCCTCAGTTGCTCCAGTTACACAAGGGGATGCAGAGCTGGTGAGGAGAGCTGATGGCAGCTCATGGCTTCAGTGCTGCCTGAGTGCAGACCCTCTAGGTGGGGGCTGGGCAGTGTCTCCTGTCCAGAATAACAAGATGGAGGCCACGCAGAGAGACACCTGTGATGTTGGGGAACACGGGCACATCCAGAAGGCGCTGGAAGATGGACAGCAATCCCATCAACCTCAACTTCTTTTCCAGCGCCTACTTCTGCCTGCCTCAGCTTCCCACAGGCCACTTCACCTAGTTCCACCCCCCTCTGCTCCTCCTGGGTGAGTCCTCAAAGGACCACCAAGGCACCGGCCTCATCGGCCGTGGAGCCTAGGCCCCTATTTCTAAATAAAACCCATTGCCAGAAGTCAATTCTGACTCACAGTGACCCTATAAGACAGAGCAGAACTGCCCCACAAGATTTCCAAAGCTGTCATCTTTAAGGAAGCAGACTGCCACATTTTTCTCCCGTGGAACAACTGGTGGATTCCAAATGTACACATTCTGATTTGCAGTCGAGCACTTAACCATTGTGCCACCAGGGCTCCTTCTATTTCTAAATAGCAGCATTTACCCCAGGCATTAATTGACCTCATGATCAGTTGCAAAAACCACCCCAGAGACACACACATACTGGAACGTCCTTCAGTATCCATATTTGCATTTCTCCATCCTCTTTCCTTTACACATTGTGGCTCCCAGATCAAAGAATAGCAGTGCCTGTGTAACGCTCTCTTCCCACTTTCCCACCCTTCCTACCCACACAGAGTGCCAGGAAAGCCGAGGAGGAGGAAGAGGGGAAGTAGGAAGAAAAGAGGAGAAATGAGGAAAAGGAAAGAAAGAGGAGGAGCAGCAGTGGTGTACGGGAGCTAGCTCTTACTACGCTTAGCTCTTCTTACTAAGAACCAATTACTAAATTTTTCAGAATTGTGCAAGCCAGTTGTTAAACACAGCCATTATTAAAAAAACTAAATTATATAAACTTAAAATTAAATACATTATATTGAAACCAAACGCCAAAAAACCACTGCCATCAAGTCAATTCTGACTCCTAGGGACCCCATAGAGTTTCCAAGCCTGTAAATACCTACAGAAGCAGACTGCTACATCTTTCTCCCACAGAGCGGCTGGTGGTTTCAAACCACCAACCTTTCGGTTAGTGGTCCATTGCTTTAACCATTGTGCCACCAGGGCTCCTTATATTGAAAACAAGTATAAATACTCAAAACTCCTCACTTCCCAATTATTTTAGCACATTTCACTATTAAACATGCCCTGGAAGTTATTTACACCTATGGTGTCTGTGTTTTGGAAATACTATATGATAAGATCCTAGTGCACATCTGCAGCCCTCACGGTGCAGCGGTCGAGCTCTCGGCTGCTATCCAAAAGGTGGGCAGTTCGAATCCACCAGCTGCTCCTTGGAAAGCCTTTGGGGCAGTTCTACTCTGTCCTTCAGGGTCGCTATGAGTCAGAATTGACTTGCGGCAACAGGACTGTACCTCTCTGCCCAACTCCATGTTCACTAACATGACAACAATAGTCTGAAATTGGCCATAGTGGGAAATTACTCCATGGAAATTGGCAAATGCTGCAAATCAGGATTTTTTTTCTTGAGAGATGGTTGTTAAGCACTGACCAGCATACAACTGAGAAGGAGTGGTTATTTAAATTAACCTCCACCCTCCACTGAGTGTGGGGTGGGGTTTTTAAACGGGTTTTCCTCAATTTCTTTCTCTTCCTGGGCCAGGGCTTCCTGTTAGATTTGGAGGAAGCCACGAGGACATGAGGGTGGAGAACTAACATGAATGTTCACCTCTGAGGATGGCTCAGCCAGCAGGTTCCTGGCCACCGCGGTTTCCATCCGCCCACGCTCTCCTCCATGTTCAACCACCAGAGGGCGACCTTGTGCAAAGATAAATATATAAACAGCAATCACTCACCCCCAGGCCTTCTTGGATGCCGCTGTGCTGGGAGGATGAAAAGAAGGCTCCTGTTACCTAGCAGGCTTGTTCCTTGAATTGTAAGTAAGGGGAGATGTCACCCTTCTCTTGCTTCTTGTAAGGAGATACTGGGCAAGCAACAGATGGGTGCTTGAGGTCAGGTATTGACTATGGCATAAAAAAGAGATGAAGTGGGAAACTCGTGGACTCACCCAGCAGACTTTATTGAGCAAATACCTGCTATGTGCCAGGCACTGATGGTGACAAGATGGTGTGCTTCCCTCATGGAGCTTAGAGTCTAGTGTGAAAGACAGGTGTTAATCCATAAAGAACCACACAATTCAACTCACAATGGATGCCGTAAAGGGAATATACAGAGTCCTATGAGACCTTTGGTGGCATAGTGGTTGAGAGCTATGGCTCCTAACCAAAAGGTCGGCAGTTTGAATTCACCAGCCCCTCCTTGGAAACCGTATGGGGGCAGTTCTACTCTGTCCTACAGGGTTGCTATGAGCTGTAATTGATGGGTTTTGTTTGGCTTTTTATGAGACCTTTCAAGCGTGGGACCCAGGCTGAGGGTCAGAAAGACCTCCCCGCAGAATTGACATTTAAGCTGAAAACTGGAGGGGATGAATGACTTTCCTCAGCTCACATGGCTGACTGAGGCTCGGGCCCAAACTCAGCACCCAGGCTGCAAACTGGGAGTGGGAAGTCTTGAAGGTGGCAAGAGGTCCCCTCATGCCGTGGCCAAAGGGACTGTTCCGTGTCCTAGAATCTAAGGATTTCACACACCTAGTCCCAGGGGAGGATGGGGAAGGCAGGAAGCTCCTTGCCTTTCAGGACAGTAATGCTCTGATTGTGAAGTTCTAGCCCGTTCTCTTCTTTTTCCCTAGGAGTTAATCATAGCAGTAGCTTCTCTCTCTCTCCGCCACCAGTCCTATCACTTTCCATATCACAATCCATATTCAGTGTTATATTTTACTGGATTAGGACAAGACCTAGGCAAGCAACAGCTGAAAGCCTCGGGCTCCCTGAACACAAGAAACCCTGGGTTAAAGGAAATCAAGGGAGAAAAACATAAAGGGAGCTTTCCAGAACTGGGGCTCCTGGGTGCTGGAAGCTACACCATACCAGTGCCCCATGGTTAATCTATGCTGAGTACAGAAAGTCACCCAACCTCTGTTCTGGGGTTGGAGAAAGGGAATAACAATTTCTGGACCCCTGGAATTTGCCAAGCACTGTAGTAAATGCTTTCATGCACATGATCTCATTTAATCTCAACAACAACACTTGATAGTAGAGATAGCCATCTACCTACTGCACATGAGAAAACTAAGCTTATGAAAGAGAAGTTGCCCAAATTCCCACGTAAATAAGTGGCAGAGCTAAGATTCAAACCCAGATCCACTGGACCATGCAGTTGGAAGTCCTGCTCTTACACCACACCCAAATACAGACGCTGCTTGCAAGGCCAGTCAGAGGAGGCCAGGTGGCTCCTGACAGCTCCTTCCCTAAGGCCACTGAGGCCATCTCTGCTGCTCTGGGTATGTCTTCTCCAGGGACCTGCTGCTTCTGCAGCTGTCTCCTACCTAATCCTCCATTTTGGGCCAGGGAAGCCCAAGGAATGGAATTCACTTGTTGGCTGTCTCCCTGAAGAAATACTAAACAGTGCATCTGTCCCTTGATGTAATCTGGGAGGGAGAGACAGAGACAGAGACAGAGAGAAGAGAAAGACGGACAGACAGAGACAGACACACAGAGAGATAGAGATAGACACACAGAGAGAGACAGACACACAGACAGAGACCCAGCTCAGCTCCCAGCAGCTGTTAACATTTTGACAAGAGGGAACCAGTGCTCATACCCCTTAGGGATCTAAAGGGCTAGGATCGGGAACTGGCAGGGAGAGCACCATTTTTTGTCTGAGTGAAAATCAAACCAAGACCGTCCTATCTTGAGGTATGGTAAAGATGGCAAGGATAGACAGGAGCCAGCCTTGAGAGGAAAAAGAGCGAGCAGGGAGGAGGGGACGCAGGGCCAGCCAGCACGGTGAGCCTACCACATGAGTGTCTCCCTGCTGGCAGCAGCTCGAAGTCCCAGGTTTGCTGAAAACCCACCTCTTCCCAGAAGCCACACTCCTAGCATCCCCGCCCCCGCCACCCCACACACACATACCCTGGTGCTAGTGATCTGTCAGCGCCTGTGCCTGACCTTGGTGAGGGTTCCCTTTCTGCTCTGGATCTGGGGAGGCTTCCTGGTGGCTGTCTTGCAGCCCTGTTGGGAGGGGAGCCCTTCCTCCCCCACAGCTCCCACAGCCTTCTGGATGGTTCTTACTCCAGGAAGGTGGCCCTAATCTGCTCTGTGAGTATCAGCCTGAGGAGGAGCAGGAGAGGGAAGGGAGCAAGGGCCCCCTCTTCTCTGGGACAGGAAGGGTGAAATTGCAATGATTGCCCCCTCCACAGGCCCCATCCTCCCTTTCCCTGAAGGTCAGGGGCCAGGGCTAGAGGAGGCTGGTGGGGAGGCACACAAGAGGCAGAAAGGGAATGGAAGGTGGGAGGGGTTGCTTCTAGGGTCCTGAGCTAAATCCAGCGTTTGCGCCAGGGAGCTTCCTCGCCCTGATCTTGCCTCCGAGTCTCTTCCCGCTGCTTTTTCCCTTTGTCTCCTCCTTGAGAATAATCATCTCTTAGGCTTATTCTGTGACTTTGCACTTTGCAAAGCTCTTTTACATACCAAAACCCAAAACCAAACCCATTGCTATTGAGTCAATTCTGACTCATGGCGACCCTATAGGACAGAATAGAACTGCCCCATAGGGTTTCCAAGGAGCACCTGGTGGATTCGAACTGCCAACTTTTTGGTTAGCAGCCTGAGCCCTTAAGCACTGTGCCACAAGGGATCCACCTAATCTGACTGTCCCACCAATTCTGTGAGGAAAGTGTTATTTATCCCCACTTAACAGAGAGAAAATGAGACTCAAGAGGCTAAGCGATTTGTCCAGAGAAAGATGGCTTAACATACATAAAAGCAAGACAGGGGAGTGAAACCATCATTTCTTGGGGTTCTCTGTGGGGGAAATGGGAGAGTTCATCCCCATCTCCTGGAGCAGTGGATGGGGGCCCTCACAGGCTTTGAGAAGCAAAGGCTGTGACGGGGTGCCACCCACAGAGCCTGTGACGAGGCCTGCATCCTTAGGGAGCACATGGGAATGAGGTGATGGTGACGTCTGTGGATCTCAGCTAGGAAAGCTCCGGGGGCTCAAGGACACACTGCCCCATCTCTGCTGTACCCCAGCAGGCTCGAGGCCAGCACCCAC